AGCTCTTCTTTCTCCTGGACTTTGTGACCTTGAAAACTCATTGCTGTACTCTGTGCCGATTGTAGGAAAAATTAACTTGGAAATTTGCGATGAATACACCAAAAAATTTATATTTACTTATTTAAATTAAAAATTTTTAAGGAAACTAAAAATAAAAGAATAATTGGCGGTGGCCACAATTACTTGGAATGAACCCCTTTTAATCTAAAAATCGATTGGAATATACGTTCGTTGTTAAAAGTATGAGATTTTGATATTGACAATCTTACAATAAGGAATGATAGTTATATTAACCAAAACCCTTTCTGATATTTAGTTAATAATATACCGGTCTTAAAATATTTATTTATTAATGAAAATACACTAATAAATAAAAATTTTGGTTGATATGATTCAAATCTACGATGCTCCACAGAAAAATATGTGTGACATAGAATTTTATACACAGATTTTTTACTCCTTTTGAGTTTTTAAAAAATTTCACTAAAAAATTTAATGAAGAAAAATTTTCATTCAAATTGTCTTCTCGTGTCGCACTTCAAATCTGTTTGAACAAACCAGGGGGAATTTTTTATTCTTTTCTTTTTCTGGAGATTTCTAAGTTAACGGTTTCGTCACTTTCAAAGGGCACAATTCTCGTAAACATTCAACTGATTCAACAAAGTCTTGATTTAAATTTAATTATTGCATGAGGATGACAAAGTGATTTAAAAATTTTTGATAAGCTTGTATACTTGTGATTTATGAAAATATTCAAAATTTAAAACTTATATTTTGATAAAGTATCAATTTTGATCTTACAAAAAAAAAACGAAGAATCATAAAATTTTACAATTGTAAGATACTAAAATTAATTATTTTGTCAGTTAGAAATTTGAGCTTAGTACTCGATTCTAAAAGTTAGCCAATTTTAGCGGTGTTGGGAATTCCTGACATCAGAATGTGTTTATAAACTATATAATTTATAATGCTCTTTCTGAATGCTGTAATAATACTTAAAATTGAATAATTTACTTAGTAATTTATAGTGAGGTAAACAAAATTTCTTCTCAAATTGATTACAACTTGATGAATCTTGACTTGATGTACAGATAATAAAATTAATTTGAAAATAAAATATACTTTAAGTATGAATCTTATTGTAATCGAAAAAGCTTATCGTTATAATATCATATCAGATTTCACAAAAATTTTAACTTTTAGTTGATTTTAATAACAAGTTTTGAACCATTTGATAAGTGAGTTATCGAGCTTTAATATGAAACAACGAAATCATTTCATATTGTGCGGAATAATAATTTATTATTGATAAATAAAGACTCTTTGAAAATCCGCTTTGCCCCAACTCCCTAACCAAAAATGGATAAGCACTATGAACAAAATAAATCTTATTCAAAACAAACGTTGAAACCTTAGTGATGTACCTAACTGTCATAAAAAAATTGAATCTTAAGTTATACTGATTCAAATAATGATCCTAAGACTCATTTGATCAACTTTTAGGAAATGAGGATTTTTCTATTACAATTTATATAGTATAATCGCATTTTATAACGCATGTTTTATTTTCCTTTTATATTTATTGTTCAATCATAAATGATACCAAAAACAAGCATAAAATTGCATCAAAGAAAAGCAAACCTCTACTCGCTTTACCCAAGAGCTCGTTTTTGAGTTGAGGAATTATGAACGTAAGAATATAAAAAATTAGGTCTCCTTCTTTTATCTTATTTTAGAGTCAAATAGTACCGAACTAATATTATAATACAAACATTTTTTGTTTCTCATTTACCAGATTCATCAATTTTCTTATAATATGTTTCACCTAATAACGTCATATATTGCAACTCCAGCGCCTCATCGGAACTCACTAAAACTTGGAAGTGACCAGTCAATCTTGATATACACTCACATTGACACTCGCATTTAATTAGACAACATACGAGTTCATGCCAACTTTGGGCTACCTTCTCTTAAATTAGCCAAAAAAAATGAAACATTGAATATTTTATTTGAAAGTATTAAATTGTGGTAAAGTAGTAAAGTTGTATTGGATCCTACTAATGGAAGATCGACTTTTGAATTCTCCAAGACTATTTGACTCGCTAACCAAGTTGTATTGTCTATTTATTTCTTTAGAAATAGAGTCATATGTTCCGCTTATTTAAAGTTTTTATGATGATGATAATAATGATGAGTGGTATTGAGAATCACTGAGAACCCGTAAAGGCTTCCTAAACAATGCTTGACTCACTTTCACTTTTAACCATCACCAATTTCCGCTCATCAATGCAAGTATATTCTTTTGTACAAGAAATATGATCAATAAATATTATCAGACATTTATTGTGCGATACTTTTTATTATTATAATTTTTTAAAAATAAAATAATAAATTATAATAAATAATAAATGTGCAAATTCTTAAAAATGCTAATTTATTTTTAAATGATGAGAAAAATGATAAAATTAAAATTACAGATTTGTAAATTACATTTAAAGGACAAAATACAGATATGTATGTGTATAAGCTATCAACAAAAAATAGACTTTTACACTCTGCTATATATAGTTAAAATAAAATATAAAAGATTATATTATTACGAATAATGCTGAGACATTGTTGCACCATCTATAAATATTTCTTTTCATTTAAAGAATAATTGAGATGAAATAACAGCCTTTGTAAAAAAATATAATGTAATCTTCTCGACACTTGATATAATTAAAAATTAAAAGAAGCCAGAAGAGGCTTCACCAACAAATTGATGGAAAATTTATTTAATTCGCAGGCGAGAATTTTATTAAATTTTTTAATTAAAAATTGTAATTAAACTATGAATTGGTGTGCGAGCATAGAATATTCATTTAATAAATAATACTCTAGGAAATGCGTAATGAAGTAAGTTAATAGAACACAATTACTGCCTCTTTATTAGGTGTTAATATTTATTGTTACATTATCCGTTATGCAATAGTATAATACAATAAGAAAGAGTATTAAAATAGAATACTAGTTGCATTTATTTTCTCAAAGTTACATATTGTACTAGTTTTAAGAAAATTAATTTTGTCAACATAATTATTAGTATTTACGTTTACAATGATTCAATTCTTAACTATGTATTAAAAAACACATATGGAAAAATACTTTTCAAAGTGTTTACTTTTTTTCTTGGATTCCTGAAGAATACCTTTTTTTCAAACGAATTTTCATTTTAGAAAATTAACTTTTATCCGTATAAGAATAATAATAAAAATCGCTTATTCAGCTATACAGCTATTCCTAGATCATATACAATATTTTTACAAATTTTAATAGCATTATTTAGTAATATTAAAAAAATGCATTCGATTTTTAATTTTCATTTCTTGTGGAAGCTTTGTGATCCAGTTAGAGTCTCAATTTACTATTTTAAGAGACGATGCAGATTTTCGGTATATTATCAAATTCTAATCCAGTAATTAAATACTTTAGAAACAGTTCATTGATTATTTCATTGATGAACAGACGAGTATTAAATACTATTTTATGTCGTATAGAAAGCCATAGTTATTAATTTAGCATATTTATTAACGTTAAAAATAATACGAATCATTCTATTCTGTATAATTATAATATAATCCGCAGTAGGTTCTATGATTTATTAGCGCGATACTGATTTAAGATTCGTTTGTCGGATGTAAAATGTAAATGAAGAGTTCAAAATGCGAAGAATAAGCTCTAAAAAGAATATACAGAAAAAAAAGGCTACTTTGACTCAAGGAAATTATTTTCTTGATATAGAATATTTTGTTTAAAAAAGTTTTCGATGATTAAAGAAATTTAATGCTTAGTTCGTATTTTTTGATAAAATTAACTGATAAAAAATTTCTTAGTCCGAGAAAAAATTTTTAAAACCAGCAATTTTTTTAATTCAATTCAACTACTTTTTCTATTAGCACGTGTTTTATAAGGTTGGTATTCAAAATTTTCTTTTTTCTTAAGGATATTTAATTTTAAACGAAGACTAAAAGAAAGTCTGTAATGTTGACATTAAAACTATTTTACTATAAAGATTACTTTAAATTACTTTTTTCTATAAAACATTAATTGCAAATAGTTTTTTTTAGATCTTCCTTTTTAATGAAATTAATTTTTTTTCCGGTGTAATTTTTATCAAATAATGATTTATTTTATTCAGTGATAGAAAGTCTTATAATTTGCCGTCAATTCCAGTGAATTTTCCTGTAAGTTGAAACGCTATTTTTTCACAATAGATAACCATCCACCAGGAAAACATTATTACATAACTCACATAAAAGTATATATACATTATGGTATTAATCGATCTTTATCTCTCAATAGACTAATAAAACATTTTCCTTCTTAATATCGAAGTGAAAAGGTTAGATTTTATATATGGGTCATTCCATGTCAAATCGACAAATAGTTGGAATCGACCCCGTTCGATTTGGACGACTTTTGGTCAGAAGTTTCCTCTTATCAAATAACGAAGTTCTGCCAAAGAAAATAAAATAAAAAAATTTTTTTCAAAAGATATGCAAATTCAAAATTTTGCAATTTTTCCAGTTTTTCAATTTTGTTTTTTTATACCTCGAACGCTATTATAGATACCGAAATGACCTTTTGTTTGCTTGAAAGGGGACACTTAGGGCTATTGAAAAAAAAAATTTTGAAAAATGCCAACTTTGTCAAATTTTGAATTTTTGAAAATCATTAAAAATGAAGTTCACAGTTAAAATTTTGGCTCAATTTTTTTTGTTAAATACCTTGTACTGATCTTAAAAGATCCTGAAATTTTTAGAAGAGTGTTTTTTTTTCAAAAATATGAATTTTTGAGTTTCCAAAAAAAATTTTTTTCCATTTTCTGCAACTTTTAATTAAAGTAAAGTTATGCAGATACATAGTATTGTAATTTTGATTATTAAAAATTAAATGCATGACGTGGAAATATTAAATAATAAATTAATTTTAACTTTTTTTTGTATTTTTTGGATATTATCTTAAAGTCATCCTAAACGTATGAAATAATTCGTTAGTAGTCCTCTTTTTACTTTATTTCAAGTTTTTGAATCCATTGATTCTTCTCTATCTCTTCATCATAATGGTAAATTAATCCTGTTTCCACCGGTATTGCACGAACTTTATCAATTTTGTCCTTCAGCGCCCAGTTCTTCTTTGTCCAAAAGACAAAATATTTCTTGAACGTGATTTCTTTTGATACATAAAGATTTTGGAGCTTTAAGGCGTTGTAGAGTTGGTTCATAGTCAAGTCAATACAAGCGATGGTTGGATTTTGTTGGGCTTCTGTAGCACATTTTGTCAGATCAAGCGGACCCGATGGATGTAAGTATTTCTTGTCCTTTTCGGTCACCCACAATTTTTCAGTTATCATGTCTTTTGACAATAATTTATCGTAAAACACGTGGTATTTGTTGTCAAATAAGTCCTTCAAGGTTTCGACATTGCGTCTTGGAGGTTGGGATAGAATGGCTGAGATTTGTCCTTGGAATTCGGGCATCACCACAAAAATGAATAAAAATCCGAAAAAACAAATGATCCTTATCGAGAGACGTCTCATTGGAGACATTATCCCTATGCTCAATGACATGCTCACAATGTCTATGATTCCTTCGATCACGTTAAATTTATTGTTCATGATTATGATTACTGCAATCAGGATCAACACCAAGAGTGTGATGAAGATGAACTGAAACTTTATGTGGATTTCGGTAAGTGCCGTCAAATAATCTGTTTTCTTTGTCAAAATTGAATAGTGCATTTCACGATACTGTGTCACAAAATCAGTTAATTTAAAATTGGTATCAGCTAATTGGTTCATTGCGTTAATCGCATCGTACTGACTATTGAAAAATTTTTCATCAAAACCGTATTTTATCACTTTTAAATCGGAATCCTTTTCGAGAATTTGAAGTGACGCTGTGACTTTCATATAATCAGGTGATGAATACAATAGGCTGTCTTTAAACTTTTCAACAGATTTCATGTACTTAATCATTTTTCTGTGCTTGTACTGTTCGGTTAAATTTTTTGAATTGATACGGACCATCAATTTTATTTCATGACCATCTAAGTGCTGAGTTTTATCAAAATAAATATTTTTATAGTTGTTACTCAAATCTGAAAATCAATTGGCAAAATTAATTAAGCTTATACAACTGATAGATGTTACTCAATTTTTTTCCTTTTGAAGGATTACAGTATCGTGAAGAAAAATTAACTTAAATCAAGTTAAATTTACTTAAACCAAGAAAAAATTCTTAGGTTAAGAATTTTTTCACTCAAATCAAGAAGATAAAGTTCTTCAAAACTATTTACTTGATGTAAGTAATTTTTTTTGTGTAGAAACCCTCTGAAGTGCTCCTCCTCCTGATCCCCACTATGCGTACTTATTCCCTGACTCGCATTCTGAATGCGCGATAATAATACAAGCTTCGACATACATTTTAAAGGTACGCTCCACCTCTCAATTCTAATACACCATTTAAGACATAAGGTAGAAGAATAAGTATGCATATTTAACTAATGAATCCTGCAATCTTTGGAAAACAAGAACCTTTAGAGTGAGAAACTTTAGAGGGAGTTTACTGTAATTGGATCAGCGATACATAGGCTTTTTATCGTAAATGATATTGTTAAACTTGATGATTACCTTTCGGATACTGCAGACTGTATAGTGTGTATTTTGTTTTACTATTGTCATTGGCATTTGCAAATTTAACTTGATTCCAAGGTGACGGAGCGTATTGCGTGTAAGGGTTTAGAGAGTAGACTATATGGTTGAATCTCTTTTGTCATCATAACACACATAGTATGATTCCAAAATATCGAGGTTTCCAAAGAATGAGAGAACCATAAAAGCGTTTATATTATGAGGCCCTTCAGATATGTCGAGAATAAAAATTGGCGACTTTATGTTCCAGATTATTGAGCCCATGAACCGAAAGATGAGTGATATCAGTTTCTGCATAGATTCAAATCTGAGAATGTATGTAGGATAGCTAGGAAGATATCCTCCGATTTGCTTCCGCATCTGATCACCATTTATGACAATCAGCGGACTTCCATTATCAATACTCCCGCTTGCCACTTGGTCATCAACCAAGTCAGAAGATATTATCAGTGGGTTAGAATTATTTGCAAAATCTCTATCAATCAATTCCATCTGCAAGAAAAATAAGTGATTTTAACAAAGATTAAAAATTATTAAAATTAAAAAAAAAAATTTGGTCACGCTTGAGCTCTAGGCGTGCAAAATAATCAACTTACCGTATGATTGATAAGGTGTGATTTGATTTCTGAACTGTGAATGCTGCTTCCATTTGAAAAGTGACTAGTAAATACGCAACAGCAGCATAAAAAAATTCTAATCAGCCGTATCATTTATCTGTTGATGATTAATTTAGAAAATGAATCCTGCAGAATTATAGATCAGAAATATTTTGAAGCTCTCAAGGTCTTTGATGTATTTAAAAAAGTAACGACAATTCGTCTGACGAGCTAGCGACTGAGCAGTTTAAAGTAAAATTCTCGACTGAGTGCTTCGCAAAATGTGTGACTTTGTATCGAATTGTAGATAATGACTGCAGCTCACACTGTGGTAAAACATCGTTAGAGTTAGTGCGGAGCTTCATGGAAAAGACACGTCAACTAGGTCAGCAATTAGTTAGTTCTGGAAAAAGGAATTTTTACTACTTCCGTTAAACTGACTGAGGCCTCCACAAGAACTACTAGTGCCGTAGAAACGATCAACCAAAAGTCCCTCGGGAGCTGTGCTCTAGCGCTTTCGTTTCACTAATCTTCCATCGGTAAGCAAATAATATTATACATTGCAAACTTGACCGTCAGGTATTTTTATTCGGTGCAACCAACGTTTGAAGAAACTCTTGTTTTAAGTTTATTAAAAGTGAAAAGTTTCAATTCTTATGCGAAAGATGGGGAAAAGCTTATTATTCAAAATTAAAAAATTTATAGAAACTTTAATTTTTATTCATGAAAATTTCAGAAAGGATTTTTATTATATTGAAGTTTTACATGCTTGAAATAGTAAATAATGTCTACTAGAAGGCATGATATCAGAATTATTGATATATGATACTACTTCACCCCAGTAATGTGAGATGAAGCGCTAGTAAGAACTAATTTCAGTAATATCTCTCTGTTGTGGACATTTTCAAAGTGACAAGTCTTTTGAAGATTAACATTCTGTTTAATTCAGACAGCGTTCGTCGTGCAGAAGCATTATTATCATTTTTGTTTAATTAAGCAGTATTAACATAAATATTTTGAACGATAATAATTGAATAACAAACAAAATTTTCTTTCAATGAAAATAATTCTATTATTTTTCAGGGTGTCACGTAATAGTTATTTTCGATACGTATGCGCAATGGTAGGTATTTTGGTAAGCTTGAAGTGACGTCACGAGACTGAGATTATGAGTGCATTCTCAACAAAACCGAGTACGTTGTTATAGGTCGAGCGAAGCGAGTTGTAGTTAATGATTTTTATATTTAACATTTTGTAGCCCATATTAAAAAATATTTTTTCAGGAGTTTGAGTTGTAATCGTGTTATTTGCACAAAATTGCACGAAGCAAGTCTGATAACTTTTTAAATCAGTCATTTCCAATAAAGTAATCGAAAAACAAATAAAAAAGGTAACTTAATTATAAAACTAATCTATGATCATCCCATTTAAATTAAGAAAAAAAATTAGGAAAACGGTTCACCCTAAAGGCCATCCCTGCAACTTCTCGCTAATTCCATACCTGGGCGCTTAAAATTGTACTTATGACATTTTTGAGATTTTTAAGCTCAAAAAATAATTTATGTGATATTTTGAGCTCGCTGAGTTCAAAGAAATAATATTTCTATGCATTTGAGCTCTCCTAGCTCAAAAGTCTGATAGAAGTTTCATAGAACACTATTTTTGGAATTTTCAAACCGCAATAACTTTTGAATGGATCAACCAATTTTCACGCGGTTGGCGGCATTCGACGCAGTTTTATCATCCTCATAAGTGATTTTCAATTTTTAATTGATCGAATCGAAAATTTCGGAGTAATCCCGAAAAAACACTTTTTTCGGTTTTCTTTCGTTCACGCTATCTCTCGAACGAATCAACCGATTTTGACCGGATTGGCGGCAATCGACGTGGTTTTTTAAGGTTGAGAGCTGATAAGTTTTTGAAATCGATTGGTAGAGCCGTTTGAAAGTTATTCCAAAAAAACCACTTCTGAAAAAAATTTTTTTCCTATTTTTTTGGAGATTTCTCTAAATTTCTCAAAATCTATCGGTCCGAATCGATTCAAATTTTCAGGAAATCTAAGTTTAGTGAAGCCCTTTCGAATGGCACCAACCGCGATGAAATCGGTTCAACCGTTCAAAAGTTATAAGAGGTTTACACACACACACACACCCACACACACACACACACACACACACACACACACACACACACACACACACACACACACACACACACACACACACACACACACACACACACACACACACACACACACACACACACAATTTTTTGAAGGCTTGTAACCGTGTAGGGAATAATAAAGCGCCGGGATTGGACGGAATCCCTAATTTAGCCTTAAAAACCATCATAAAGGCAGCTCCAACATTATATTTTCGAAAAACGGGGTAAATCCAATAACTTCCCGATTTTTTAAAATTTTCAATTTTCTTAGCGGGAAGTTAAAAATTTCATTCAAAAAAATTGTTCCACATCTAGATCGAAACTCTTGTAAAGGATAAGAATCATTTATGAAAAAAAAAAAAATACAACATTTTTCCTGACCTATACTCTTGCTTATTAAAACTTCAATATTTTAGTTTCAATTCTACGACGATAAGATTGTTTTGAAATCATCTTAATCGAATTAGCTTCGTTTTCTTAATTTTGCAATAATTATATGAAGAAATCAAAACTTCAATATGATTCTATTTAAATATGATTGCATTTAAAGTTATATCAACTATCTATGTGTACATACAAATTTAATTTAATTAATTATTTAAAAATGGTCAGTTGATTAATATCGTGTAATTATTTTTAGTAACTATCATCGAATCTTAACTATCGTCAAATCGGTATTTCTAGTGACCTAATGATTCTCGATATTTCCATTTATTGTCAAAGGTTATCTTTAATTATATTAGGTTATACTTAATTATAAGTTTTTTTTAATTTTTTCAAAAATTGAGACAATTGTGTTTTTTCAAAATCTAAATGTCCATTTTTTGGTTTTTTTTTTTTTTTTCAATTTTAAGCTTATAAAAAAAGATTCATAATTCAAAAATAATGTCAATTGTCTGCTTGTTTAGATTAGACCCCCTATTTTTTTATATACAATAACAATAACAATAATAATAATAATAACATCATCCGGGATAATATAAATATATCTGAAATACAATACTATTGGGTAGATTTTTCACGTAATATTAATAGTAACATTTTGTCTTGGTTATTCTCGCGAGATTGATGTCGATTGCATAACCACTATACCAACAGAAACACGAATAAAGTCAAAACGTCAGGAAGCGAGTAAAGGCAAATATAGTACAAAGGATATTGATAAATACTGAAAGAGTAGCATTTAAATAAGTAACCGAAAAAAAGAGAGGGCGCGAAAAGTAATTTAGACTCATGAACCAATGAAAGGAATACTAGGTACAATGAGAGAACCAATGAGAATACTTCATGAAACGTTTTAATACAAAGAGTTAAAAAAGTGAAAGTCTACTGCTTTCAGCAACTTATATTTACTATCGTCTTCTCGCTCTTACATACTTTCTGCATCGTATTTATTAACTCTTTATCTCTTTCTTCCGTCTCAACTGAAGAGAAAAAAATGAATATTATTTTTTGTTCATATTTTATTTTGTATTCATAGTTTATTCTGATGAATTACTTTACAAATTACATTTGAAAAATTAAATTTTTCAATTAATTTACTTATAATAAAAATTTTATCAAATTTTCAACATTAAAAATGACAATTTTAAAGTAAATAGTAAATATTACTAAAAAAAAATTTTTTCAGAAGATATGTTTGATATCTAATAAAATGAATATTTTTTATTGTTTATTATTTATTATTAATACTATAAATTGCTAATTAATGTCGGACTATAATTGCAAGCAAATGAAACCGCACATCAATATTCTTCCAATGAACTAATGCTTTATGCTGTGAAGACTTGAACAGTTAACAGTGTTAGTTAGTTTCCTCGGGGTGCGGCTTCGCGAGCGCCCTCGATTTCACTTTCATCACAAGACCAACTTTACTTGAATAAATACGTTCGCATTTTTATATATTCACTAAAAAAATGGGATATAGTTTATTCATGAACTAGAAAAATTGGACCGCTATTAAGTGGTTATTTTCTATTAAGAAAAAATTTTTTTTTAAATTATGTAAGATGTCAACGAATCCGAAACGCTCTTTTTAACCGATCGTAGAAATCAATATTTCTAACGAATTTTTTTAGACCGTGTCTTTCAGTATAAATAATTTCTATTGTAGAATTCGTAAAATGTTCGATTTTATCTTTAGTATATGTATAATTAAAAAATACAATCTTCAAAAAATAACTCATAAAAATTATTTAATAACGATTCATCAGATCTTCAAATTTTGTACGATTAATAATCGTAATGCTGTTAATAATAAAGTGATAAGAATAAAACATTTTTTTAAATTATTAATAATGCAAAATTATGTTCTGCTGATTTTAGAAATATTTTTAAAAATAACAAAAAATTTTCTTTTCCCTCTAAACAAACAAATTTTAAATAAAAAATATCATGAATTTTTTTGAACAAATTGACGTTCAGAATTTAATGAAATTTGGCATATTGGTACTTTATAATATCATAATTAATCAGTAAAATTTTTGGAAGCCCGGCAAGTCCTGAAAAAAAGATATTAATATCTACATATTTTTGTTTTTACCATTGATCCTTATGAAGAATCACATACTTTATTATATTTCACAAAACTGGACGTTCAGATTCTTATAAAAATCAAGACAACGAGAGAAAATAACATCTAGAACGTATTTAATAACAATCAGTATGGTTTCCAAGAATATGAGAATATTTATTAATAAAAAACATTCAAAATTTATCTCTGTCTCTCTTTCTCCAACGTGATTTAGTATAGGGAAATCTACTACGTTAATCAAATAAAGTTAGGTTTTGGGATTTGACTCTTGTGGTAACTGTAGTACTACCTTAAAGATCTCAAGAATTATTTTTCATGAATTTAGAACTTTTTAAAAGTTTCTAATACTTTTTACTAAAATAAATAAATTTTTAGCATCCTCTATTTTACTCCTCGTCCTTTTTTTGAGTAACATAACTTAACCAAGTGATTG